GGGAGGGGGGAAAAAACTGGTTAGAAAAATGAAAATTTTACTCAATCTTCAAAACACTTTCAAGACTGCTTCATTCCATGCACAACTACTTAACTTGAAAACATCGTAATCATAAAAAAACATAGTAATACCAAATGAAGAACCGAAGTCTGGGAGAAAGTGCCTGTTTTCTACCTAACGCATCTTCACTGTTTCCAAAATATGTAATTCCTATGACTGGAAACAAAAATCCTATAGTCCCAAACCAAGTCTTTGCAACCTCAAATCCCGTGTGGTTTATTTTTTAAGAAGACAGAGTCACAAAAGGTTCCCCAGACAGTGCTGATACCACTGGAGGTAGGCTCAAATATTACTGACACACTTCACAGCTGGGGGTTATGTCAGCGAGCAAACCTCATCCAGCAAAAGCCTGCCCAACTAGCCAAGGTCCACTTCCCCAGGATCTATGTTTATAAAATCCATCACTATGCATGTTAATGGAAAACTGGGCACATGCACATGCCCTGGCTCAGACGTGATTTTTTTAAAAACCCCAAAACAGATTACACATTCAAGGACAAAGAATTAAGAAATAATGAAGATTTCCCATATATTTTCATCAAGGATTTTCTTAATTCAACAGACTTCAACCTACAAACATCTACCTGCTGAACTGGACTCCAATTATTTTCCAAGTTATGAAAGTGGTTTTCTGGCGAATAGGTGAAATGCATGTGTTAAGCAGACACATATCCAACTAAGTCCTATAGAGCAGGTAGAAGATGGGTTCAGAAATACTAGAAGGCACTTTTTTCTCTTGTCCTTGCAAAAAAAAAAAAAAAAGTCATTCGGTATAGGTTTTATAATTTCCACAGCACCCTGCGTATAATTTAAAATCTAACATGTATACACTGCATATACATGCCTGAAAAAACTTAAGACACTATGAATGCACACTATATATATATATATATATGCGCGCCAACACTGGTACAATGTTGTGACTTATTTTAGTGACTTATTCAAAATATGATATAAGAATTTAGTGACTTATTCAAAATATGATATAAGAATTTAGTGACTTATTCAAAATATGATATAAGAATTTATTCCACAACCAATTATTTTAGGCAGCAAAGAGATTTAAGGCTGATTTTTGGAGTGGTTTTCTGGGGAAAGATAGTTCCCAAAGTCTAGGATGGCTCAGGGTCATCTCTGATTAGAATTCTATAATTTCTTTTCCACAAAGTTTTTTTGTGTTTGGTTTTTTTTAAGCCCAAGGCAGGAACTGAATATAAATTGTATCAACACCTGCACCCCACTTTCCATCTGAGAGACTCAGGAAAATCCCACCGGTGGCTGGCCTGCCTAACTGGAAATATTGCCATTCTCAGTGGGACAGGCTACAGTTTCCCTTGGCTCAAGATGGCAACTGTGTCACCCCAGGAGGTCTTCTACCAATAGTGAAACAGCCTTTGCTGGGAAAAGAACAGGCTTCAGACCCCACTCCTCTTCCCACTATGTACAGAATCCTAAAGTCCAGCCCTTTAACACACACCATGGAAGGCCCTGATATTTCTGCCCCAGGGTCGCCTCCAAAGCAGCAAAAAAGCACACATCCTATAGGCCAATAATACAACATTAAATGGCAACTCCAGAGTGGTTGGAGCAGCGCGCTCAAGTACCCCTTAACTCCCTACCACTTTCCCCCCAAACGCGTGCATACCCTTTTCGGGTGCCCGTGGGGTGAGGCGTGGCCACGGGTCCGGCTGTGGGCTCCGGGCTAGCCAGGCAGTGGCGCAGGCCCACAGCTGGGCTGTCTTGGCGCGCTTCTCAGAGGACCCGCCGAGCGACCCCCGGTTCTGGGACGCTGGCCCCGGTTTCCGGCCTGGATGGCCGCTGGGCCGCGGCGCCTGCAGGCCTTTCGGACTGACCATCGAGAGGCAGACAGACAGACAGACAGACAAGACACACACACACACACACACACACACACACACACACACACACACACACAGAGAGAAAAACCCAAACTCTTTTTTATGAGCCAAATATGAGAGTGGGAGCAAGCAATTCTTATCATTTAGTTGGAAACCCTCACTCCTTCCCCTTTTAGGTTTTAAAGATCTTATGTTTAAACCAAGAGCTCAAAACACCGGGTGACCTTGCCAATCCAGAGGAGCCATTTCGATGGGGGACAGAGGGAGGCAGATGCTTAAGAAAAGCCTCCCACACCCGCGTGGCCAACCGATGGAGGCACCCTCCCTAAAATTAAAGGGGAAAAAGTCAGACCGCCTTCCCAAGGTCAGGTGGCATTAGTCAACCATAGGCAAGAGTGCCCTGAATTATTTAACGGAGCATGTTGTCACAGGAGGCAACTCAGTCAAGTAGCACATTTTTAAAAATTGAGGTAGAGTGTACATACAGCCAAATACCTGGATTTGGGTATTCAGTCCTGTCACAATTGAACAGAAAAACCGTCATCCTCCAAAAGTGCCCTCATGCTCTTTTCCCAGTCAAAAGCATGGTTTTCTACCTAACAATATTTTTAAAATGTTACTGATCACTTCCCTGGAAGGAAAGGAAGAATTCAGGCGGTGGGTGGGACATCTGTGTGTACCTGGTATAACAGGGTTAGTCTAGTCACCGCTTTGTCACCTTTAAACTCAAATTTTCTAGCATGCTAAATCCAGGAAAAAGAGGTCTAAAAATTCATTTTCAAGTTTTCCTTAAATTAAAAACTAAAACGGGGTAAGTAGAACTTGGCTCAACACTGAACAAATTTCATGTTTTTAAAGGCTATTTAGTTTAACAATGTACTGTATCTTAATGCTTTTGCCAAACAACTTTGCATACATTAAAAAGCGAATTTTCAGAGCATCCAGGTACCTCCTAGGGTGTGGGGAGCTTCGCTCAACACTTTACACTCTTCCCATCCCATCCCATCTGAATGCTTTTATAATTTAAAAAGTGTATAAACCTTTTACAAGTCTGGCAACAGTGAGCATCTACTGTTTTAGCCCAAATAAACAGTATGTGGATCTTTAACTGGGAATATAAATAAAACCTGACATTTAAACTCAACTGCTGGGTAGGGAGGATTCAATCAACACCCCTACCAGGAGGAAAACTGGCGGATTTAAGGTGCCCCCTCCCCCCATTTGACCCTAATCATCAAGTGAATTGGCTCCATCTTTCCATTCCTGGGATTCGGATTGATATTTAGCTCAATCATTTTTCTAATAGTGATGAAAGAACATACTGGAATCACCCAGGAGTGTGGAAAAACTTTAGATGAGTGCAATCAAAGCTTAAAAACTAAGGAAAAAAATAACTGCCTCCTAGCTTCACACCTAGAAGTAAACTTTTAAAGTGAGGCGCTCACAAGTATTGTAGATTAGAATTTCAACTTTTTTCCAATAGGAAAGCCAGCTTAAGGCCATCAGGCAATAGCTCCGCCTTCCTCCCCCAAATAACAGGTTAGGAATGGGAAAGTCTGTGCTCTGTGCAAGCCTCTGCCGGGTTCGGTACCAGCACGCCCACTCCAACTCACAGGCAGGTTAACTCCCACTAGGATGTTTAAAGCCTCTGCTGTCTCGTGCTCTACGTCCGACGCAAGTCTATAGCGATCATGCACACCAAAACCTCCCCGGTCTACAGGTAGATCGCCTAAGTTACCGACCCTCTCGGCACAGACTACCGCTCAAAATTTTCGGCCCTTTCCTCTAATGGGTTCGGTTTCGGTTGAGTGAAAGGGGTCACGCGGTGTGAAAAATAAGCGGAAAGGTTTATTCAATAGCCAAAACAGCAAAATCAAGCCCAATGGCTGCAGTGCAGCCCTCGGACTTTGCGCACCCTCAGGTTCAAGCCGCGTGCAGCAGTCCGTTTTTTATCCGAGAAGGGACCCTGGTTAGGCGGGGGTTGGGGGGTTTGGGGGAAACACCTCCTAACCAGGGAATCTGGTTCCAGCTGGGATCGAAGCCCGGGAGGCGTACAGTGGCTCAAGGGGCTCCCAGCTGGGAGAAGGCAATGGGTACGGTCCCCCAATTCCGTTTCTCTAGGCGCAGCCGCGGGCCCACCAAGCCGAATTCCAAGTAAGAGAGGCTCAGGGGCCAGAGCGCAATGCGAACAGAGACGCGGAGAAGATAAGAGCCTAAGACCGAGGTCACCTTGGCCCTCAAAGATCCACAGATGCTCTCTGACCCAAGGAGACAACGATTACCAGTGTCCCAACAAAAACCACAGTCCTCCCTCGAAAGCACGCACGTGGAAACCACGTCTACGCAGGCGCACGCACTCCCCACCCACCCGCACAGCCATCTCTTCCTAGCTCATGCCCTACTTAAACGCAACCACCTACGAGTTTTACAAACAAAAGTAAGAAATAAGAGAAAAGAGAGCGCCCTCAGCACGTTGCGAGGCCTCTGGTGTGCCCGCAGGAGACGTCTACAAATACACATGCTCTTCCATCTCTTGTCTTACTTAAAACTTTAAAATCGCATGCACGCTTTGTCAAACAAATGAAGAAATCAAAGCCCACAACGAAGAGGTATCCTCAAACCTCCGGAACAAGGAGTGGGGGGGGGGAGATACGGACCCTCGCACACGGAGACAAGGTGTCCACAGCCACACACATCTAACTCTTCGAGCTCACGCCTAATTGGAGGCAAGGGTTGCCAAGTTTTGCCACACAGAAAATTAGACGAGGAAAAGGAGGGACTCCACGTTTTGGGACCCTTCGGGAGCCCCTCACAGCGCGCACACAGAAGCCAGATCTCACACAGCTACACACACACACACAACACACACACTTTCCCAGGTCATGATCTACTTGTTGGCAACGACCGCCATGTATCCAAAGGAAAACAAGACATCCCTAAAGGAAAAGGCTCCCACCCCTCCCATCGCTTTGGGACCGGTCCCGAGGCCCCCTCGCGAGCGCTCCGGCGATTCCCGAGTGGACACACACGCGCCCCGTTCCCACCCGGGGGCAGCCCCCTTGGAAGCCGCCACGCACTCACCTCGTCGTCGTGGTGCTGGCAGAAGCCGAGGCGCTCGGGGAACACCGAGAGGATGGAGAAGGGCGGGCCGGGGAAGGGCGGCCCGAGCCCGAGCTGCTGTGCTGCTGCGGCGGCGGCGGCGGCTGCGGCGGCGGGACCCGGCGGGCCGCGCTCAATGTAGTGGTCCTTGGTGAGGCGCACGCGCTGGTGCGCGCGGACGCAGTTGTCGCACAGGTGCTCCTGGCAGTCGAGGCAGCGCGACGAGGCGGCGTTGCCCTCGTCACAGGAGCTGCAGCCGTGAGGCCGGCGCAGCAGCAGCGCCGATGGGGAGGCAGCCGGTCCACCCGGCGCGGAGCGGGAAGGCGCAGGCGGCGGAGGCGCCTGCGGGAGCTGCGGCGCCGAGGCGGGCGCGCGCGGGTGCGCGTGATGCGCGTGGTGCCGGTGGTTGCTGTGGCCACCCGCGCCCGCTTGGGCGCCGGCACGCCCGTTCTTGGACGACGGTTCATCCGCCGTGGCCACGACGGCGTCGAGCAGGTTGCTGAGCAGGAAGGCGGACGAGGGGAGCGCGTCCATGCCCGCCGCCTCGGCCAGCACTACTTTCTGGTCGCACACGGGACAGCGCAGTTTGAGTGGCTCGCCCGGCGCGCCGCCGCCGGCCGCCGGCAGCCGGTGCGCCTCGAGGCACGGGCGGCAGAAGGCGTGCAGGCAGGGCAGGACGTGCAGGCGGCGAGCAACGGCCCCGGGGCCCCCGCCGCCGCCCCCCGACGACGTGGACGTCTGCGAGGACGACGACGACGCGGACGAGTTGGAGGAGAGCGGCGCCGGCGAGCCGCACATCTCCTTGCAGAGCAGGCAGATCTGGAAGTCGGTCTCAGGGAACGAAGCCATTTGCAACCAGGCCCAGAGGAGGGAGGAGACCAGAGAGGAAGAGGAGGAGAGGCGCGTGCGGACGAGGTGGGTGGGGGAGTTGCCGACTCACTCAGAAAAATGCATCTATTAGGTCTGCAATCCAGGAGCAGGCACCCGTGCGGCGTGGCCCGCTTGGCCTCGCCGCGTCCGGCCCGCGCGCTGCCACCCCCGACGCTGCGGGCATTAAATGCCACTATCCAGAGGCGACACAGATTCTTCCCGGAGGACGTGGGGGCTGCGGCGTGCTTGCCCAAGCGGGAGCGCCCGAACAAGTCCCGACTTGCGAGGGGCGAGCGGGGGCAGGGAGGTCAGAGAACTCCCTGGAGCAGCTGGAGCTTAGCTTCTCGCCCGCGGATGGAAGTCCTCTAAAGTAGAATCCGCTGTGCAGTCCCAGTCCCGGCGGGAGCAGAATTTGGTTCGACGAGTATTTGGTGCGTTGCTTTTCTTGAAACGAATTTAGTTAGTCTCTTCTTGGGAGAAAAAGGCTCCCCAAACTAGTAAAGGCGGGAGCGGCGCGACGCCAAGCCCGTGTCCCCCCGCGCGACGTCGGCCGCCCCACCGCATGACGCGGCGGCCAGGGACTCCTGGGTGGCCCGGCGTGCTGCGCTCGGGCTTGCGCACGGCCGGGCGCGGGCTCCCCTGCAGGGCAGTCGGCCCCGCGGCAGCTGCAGCTCGTGGGAGCCCGGCCGCGGCCGCACGCGTGTAATACGCACGCGCGTCCCACGCGCCTCGAGTCTCCCGCGCGCCCGCCTGGCCCCGCCGCGGCAGCCGGCGCTTAACACGCACGCGCGCCCCACGCGGCCCAGGGCCCTCGTGACCCCGCCTCGCCGGGCCTGGGCGCCTCCCGCGCGCTCCTTCTCCTCCGGTTTAGCGGCGCTGCAGCGCGGGGCCGCAGGTCCCCGCAGGCCGTCCTGAATTATTCATCGGCAGGAAGATATTAGATGTACCCGCTGCCCGCTCCGCGCGAGCCGTCGTGCAATGCTATCCGAGCTCCGCGCGCGCCCCGCGCCCCTCCTCCTCCTCACGTCCGTCCTCTCTGAAACCTTGGCAGCGAAAGGGGATCACATTTCCTTTGTCATCGGGCCATTTCGCCCTCGCCTTGGTCCCCCCTCCGATCCCGAGTCGCGGAGACGGAGCCTCCTCCGGGGCGCGCTGGAATCAGTGGAACCGGCAACGGCCCAGCGCGGTGAGCTCGGGAGCCGCGTGGCCAACGCCGCCGGCCCGCGCCCGCGTCATCTTTCTGAAACGAGGCGCCCTGCAAGACGAGGGGTGGCCCCGGCCGCGCTGCGCCTACCGGGCTTTGCTGGAGCCGTTCGCCCTGGCCTCCTGGGGCTTTGAACAACTCCCCCAATTCGGGCTGCGTGCGTGCACGCGCGCGCGAGCCCCCTCTTTCTCTGCTTTGCCGCCTCTTCCTCCTCCTCCTCCTCCTCCTCCTCCTTCTCCTCCTTCTCCTCCTCCTCTTCCTCCTCTTCCTCCTCCTCTCAGTACGCTGGTTATTGGGACTGATCGGAATTCGGAATCCTTTTAATCTCCAAAGGAGCAAACTCACTTCCGCCCGAGTGCTGGGAGGGGGCTGGGGGAGGGGACACAGGGGAGGGGGTTCCAGGCAAACAGGAAACATTAGCCCTCTCGGCACGGCTCGCTTTTGTGTACTCCCTCCCTCCGCCCTCCAACCTCCTCCCTTCTCCTGGCCGCTGGGGAGATGAACGCCCCCGGGCTTCAGTGTGACGACCTTTGAAACCTTCTGAGCGGGGGAGCGGAGAGCGACTCTTCCGTTTATTTAAAATAAGAGAGGAAAGGGAAAGATTTCATTCTGAATCGTGGTTTAACAGAGGCTGATCCACTGCCCGTGAGATCTGGGTTTTTCCCCCCCACCTTTTTTTTTTTTCTTTTTCTTACTACGTTTTCTTAAGGACTCCATACCTGTGATCAACACCAAAACATCACGCAGTTGGATGCAGTTGGATGCGTGCAATTAAACGAATCTGAATTATGATCTCCGAGGGGCCGGTTTCCTTCTGAGTTTTAATGAAGGGTGGAGGGGCAGAGGGCAGCTGTTCAGGGGAGGCTACCCAGCTATGGCCCCGCGGCCATCTGGGTGGTGCCCCAGGCTGCCCGGCCGTTCTGGGAGAGGAACTTGGTTGGCGCTGGAAATAGACTGGGAAGAGCAGAGAGGGCCACATACCAGGATTAGAGGGTATCTGTCTGGAGGCCAGTGAGTGGAACAATTGTCCTCGTCTTAACACCATCAAGCTCTTAGTGACATCTTGGGTCCTACTTGTACAGTCAACAACAACTTGGATGAATCTCAAAAAGCACGTTAGGAAAAAGAAGCCAAACATGAGTCCATACTATGTGATTCCATTTACAGGAAATTCTAGAACAGGGAAAACTAAGCTATGGGGATAGGAAAATTACCCTCGGGGTGAGGGTGTATTGACTGGGAGGAGGGACCCTCCTGGGGTACTGATATAGAAATATATCGGTGTGCCCGTTTGTCAAAACTTGTAAACCTGACGTTTAAGATGTGCAGAATGTCGCTGTGTGTCAATTATATTTCAATAAAAATTTTAAAAACATGACTTGGTGTCCAACCTGGAGAACCATGCCTGGGATATAAAGATCAAAACAAAACCAAACAAACAAACAAAAAACCCCCACTATATAAACATCCACAGCTCCTCCGGATTTGCTCACCCGAATTCAGGGAGTTTTCTAGGGAAAGATCAGCCTGGAAGGAGCCCTTAAATCAACTCTGCTCGACAAATGTGCTGAAAGTCCCAGGCTGCAGAAACACCTCCTTAAAGGGACAAAGCCATTGTGGGGCCCAAGTGCTGTCCTGAGATGGGAAGTGCTTCCAGGTGGAGGAGGAGCCTGGCAGCCCCACTAGGAAGACCCAAGTCCTCAGCTGCCTTCAGGAGTGCTCTCCTCCGCACCTGGAGTCAATCCAGGCTCAGGGAACATTGACTGAAATGTGTAAGGAGCGCAAAAATTATTATCAAATAAAACCAAAACATACGTCAATTATATCTCAGTAAAACTGGAAAAACAAAACAGGGCTCCTCCTTTGCCAATGAAAAAGAAACATACTTTAGAGAGGAGCGTCTCATGCTACCATCTATTGCCAACACAAGTTTCTTATTTTCTTCCATACTTGGAGACGTGTAAGTAAACATACATACACTCACACATGACGCTACACACTCATAGAATTTTCTACCACGCTGGCCTTGCTCCAGAGATGGTGTATGTATTTTGGGGGGGTTTGTTTCTTTTCCCTTCTTGGATTGTTTCTAACCCTCCCCCCTCTTTAAAAAAAACAAGAAAACAGATGGGGGAAGAGAATTGCCAGAAGGAAAATGGCCCCAGAGGGTCAGAAAAAGGATGGGCCAGACCTGCTGTCTCCCTCTTGGTTGGCCCCACCCAGCAGCCTCTAAAAAGGTTTTTTTTTTTTTTTAAAAAGGGATGGTGGGGGAGGAGGGAAATTCAACAGTCCTCCTGATCCTGTGACTCTAAAATATCTTGCAAGTGGATAGCAAAGATGAGATGAAGTCAGCTGAGCCATCATTGTAGAGCAGGAAGGCTGTAACTCCAGAAAGAGGAATCAAACTTGACAGCAGTTGGTGAGTTAGTTTCCTGGGGACAATTGCTCAGAATAAGCCAAAAAGAAAGAGAAAGAATAGGGGGTGGGGAGGAGGTTTTGATTTCTCTTCATGAAATAGCTTCCCTTTCTTTCCTTTCTTGAATTGACAGAACATTGCCAGGAAAAAGGGCTGCAGTGCAAATTGTTAAATGAGCACATTTGTAATTTCCATTGACTTTAATTTACCATAGATAGGAAAGAGGGAAATCTTGAAAGCAACTAATTTAATGCTAATTGTCTAGAAACGTAGTTAAGATTTTTTTAAACTATTGTATAGTGATAAAGAACAAATTAGGATTAGACCCTAATAGGGTTTATCCATGAGATGAACAAGAGCAACATATCCAGATGAAAGGCCAAAGACAGTCCCCTGCTATAAACTAGTATTAAAATTTTCATTGCCATCCTTGCTAATAAACACCCTCTCTTAGCAAGGGAGGAGCACACAGCCTTCCAGTTTTCCCTGTTAAAAAAGGAGTTACATGCACCTCCCCAAATCCTGCAAATACACTATTTTGTATTTTAATAATCATTTTTTAAAAGAAACCAGCCCTAAAATTATGTCGGCAGTAAATTTGCAGTCTTTCTTGAATTCATCTATCACCATATTTTGTTTTCAAAGATGACACTAGGCCCTGCTGTTCTCTCAGACCTGGGGTTGGAGGTGAGACCACATTTCTATTGGAGCAACTTTGCATCTGCTTTTTTCATCTGATGTTTTAATTATTTGATGCACCCACTTGTTTTGATGTCAGAATTGCACCTTTCACCATCATCCTCAGGGTGTATTCATATAATTTTTTAAAACAGTATTTTTAAAAACATTAAATATTACATCACAATTACTATTTTGAACAATGAGAAGGGGTGGGTACCAGCCTAACAGACAGCCATTGAATCATTGCTTGCGTCCTGCCAGTTGAGGGGGGATAGAGTTCCACACGGCGGGCAAACTCTTGACTCAACCCTTACTCTGGCCTTGGAATCATTAACAGAAGTGTGTCGGGTGCTTTCCACATCCCAGAGTTCAGAATAGCAAGAAGTCAGGTGATACAGTGTAAGTTCTAGTCACCTAGATCTTCATAGGCACCAGTAGGGAAACTTGAATTGCACATGTGAAAGGTAAAAGTCAGTATCCAGCATTGGTATAGTTAAAAGTTAGTTCAGAGCTCAGCCAGGCTTACCTCCCAGCTCCATCACCCTTAACTGTGTGAGCTTGGGCAAATTAACTTCTCTGTGCCTCAGATTTCTCATGCAGGTAATGGGACTGGTACAAGTACCTAGCCCTTCACAGTTAAATGAGCTACTAAGTGTACAGTGCTTAGTATAGTACCAATCACATGTAAGTGCTCAAGCACACATTTAAACATTAACTTCCT